TTTGATTTTTAATAGAAATTTTGTTAATTCTTTTTCAGTGTCTGCTTTAGGTTCGGTGGAACACGTCTTTAGCTTTTCACATCCCATTTTACAACAGCTTATTTCCATGTCCTCCTGCCGTCTTTTGTAGCACTGCTGCCAAGGCTCCAGCAGTTTATATTCCCCGGCAGCTCCGTAAGGCAATGACTGGGCTTTCCCTCCAGTCAAATTCACAGCCTCAGAAACCCAGATGTGAAGATGGAGGCTCACTGTGAGTTGGAGCTGATTCGATGATAGGGATGTTTTGGGATACATCTGATACCACACCACTTTAGTTTGTCTTAAATAACCAGGTATCTATTAAGTAATAAAAAGTAGTCTTCCATTAGGGACGTCATGTTTGGGAGAGTGGAGGGACATCGCAGGGGAGGAAGACCCTCAATGAGATGGATCGATTCTGTGAGTGGAGTGGTGGGAATGAATGTGTTTGAAACAGCAAGGTTGGCACAGGATAGAACGGCATTTAGGGTTCTTGTACATAGGGTCGCTATGAGTCACAAACGACTCAATGACAAATAACAACAACAACAGTCTTCCATTCACTCACCTACTCATTCATGTGGATTCATGTTTCCTTTTGGTATCACTTTCTTATAGAGCCTGAAGGATTTCCGTTAGCATTTCAATTGTTTAGTTTAGTATACATTCTTTTGGCACTCATGTATCTGGGAAAATGTTTACCATTCTTTTGCTTTTTGAAAGATATTTTTCTGAATCGAGGTTTATCTTTTGTGCTTGTTTTCCGTTCAACAAAGGAAAGATGCCGCTTCACCATCTTATTGCTTGTATTATTTCTGAAGAGGCATCTGCTGGCATTCTTCTTTATTTTCACACAATATCTTTATGCCCTCTGTTTTTTGTTTTTTTGGTTTGTGTGTGTACTGTCATATCGAATCTGACTGGTACAGGAGGAGACTGCCCCTCCTTCTTCAGTAGAGCGTCTGGTGGATACAAACCACATACCTCTGGGATTGCAGTGCAGCTTCTTGCCACTAGGTCACCAAAGCGCTCTATTCTCTCTGTTTTTAAGATTTCCTTTTAATCACTGTTTTTCAGAAATTTGCTTGCCAGGAGCCCTGATGAGCTTTTTGTTGTTTTTTGTGTTCATAATTTTTTCTTGGATCTGAGAGTTTATAATTTTCATAAAAACTGGCATTTTCTGTTATTATATCTTGAAATACATTTTTATTCCTCCTCTGTCTTCTCCTTAAAATACTTTGATAATATGTATGAAAATGCTTGACGCTGTCCTACACTTACTGATCATATGTTCGATGTTTTCTTCAAGTCTTTGTGTTTCACTTGGTCAATATCTATTGATGTGTCTTCACACTCGGGATTTTTTTTTCCTCCTGGAGTGTCTAATTTGCTGTTAATCTTAACTGTTGTTGTTTTGTGCCATCGAGTCACCTGTGACTCACAGCGACCCTATGCACAGCAGCAGCTCTGAAGCCTGCCCTGTCCTGATCCAGTCTCACTGACTCTGACAAACCAACTGGCACAGCCTTCCAAATTTGAGGGCTCAGCCTCAGTTACCATATCTGTTCTACTCTACCTCTACTCTATTGTACACAGGGTTTTCGAAGGCCTGTTACATTTTGCAAGTAGATAGCCAATCTTTCTTCCTAGTCTGTCTTAATTTGGATGCTTGGCTTTGGAACAACATTTGATTACTTTTGACATCAAAACCAGTGTGAGACGAAGTTCTATTTGTGACATTTTATGATTTCCATGTCTGTGCTGTTTGAATCTACTATCTGCTCCAAGGGAGAAACATTTACCATTTCCTCCTGTACAATTTATAGCCTCTGAAAAAAATCCACTGCAGGATCAAGAATGAATTGGGATCAACCTTATATCACATCAACAACAAACAACAGCCAACTTAATACAAAGGTCCATTGGTGGTATCACAGTTAAGCAATGAGCTGTTAACCAAAAGGTCAGTGGTTTGAACCCATCAGTTCATTTTTGGGAGAAATTTCCTGGGGATCTGCTCCCACGAATATGGCAACCCAGGAACAGGGCTGTTCTATTCTGTCCTATATGGTTGAGAGAAGTTGGAACTGACCCGAGGGTTGCTAAAAGCTCCTTTACACCTTTACTCTCACTTCTCAAATACCAGATGGTAAAAAGTAATGATAAATCTTTTCAGAAACTTGTTTACAAAGTCCATCTTTGTTCCTCAGTGAGACTATTTTTGGGTTAAAATCCTTTTCTTTGGTCATGCTGTCCTGAATTTCTTTATTCCAAGTAATTTTTTGCCTGGACATTGACGTTGATAGCTGGGAATTTTGTATTCCTTTAAATATTCTTGAGCTTTGTTCTAGGACACAGGTAAATTACTTGGAAACATTAGATTTATTTTGAGTCTTGGTCTCTATCGGGATGAACTATAGTAGAATTTAGCCGAGATATATAATTTTCGCCCAGTTCCTTCTGAATACTCTACCTGGTATTCATGAATCTTACGTTTTCCACTTTAGTTAGTGGGAACAGACACTATTTCTGAGCCTGTGTTAATCTTTTCAATTTCCCCTGGTAATACAATGATCAGTCCGAAGCTAAACAACAACAACAATCTCCAAGCCCCTCCTATCCAAGTGTTCTTCCAATACCTCCAGCTGTCCTCTCTCTGTCTCTGTCTCTCTCTCTCGTACTTGAAAAGGTGGAGGGTCAGCACAAGAGAAGAACCCCCCATGAGATGGACTGACAGTGACAGTGACTACAGCAATGGGCTCAAGTGTATCAGAGATGGCGAGAACGGTGCAGGATAGGGCAGGATTCAGTTCTGGTGTTCATACTGTTGCTATGACTCGGTAACACCACCACTAGCACTGTCACCTGAGAACTCTGACACCCTCAGCCTCCCTGGCCTCCAGCTCTGCCTCCTCCCGTCAGGGAGTCCTCTGGGTTCCTATCCGGTTGCTCCTCCCTGGGACTTGCGATAAAGATTCTCTCCAAGCAGCAAGCTGAGGCAATTATGGGATTTACATAAATTTTTTCCCATTCCTTCAGGATTACTATTTTTCCATTGCTTTACATGTCATGTTTTGAAGGCATGAAATGTACTATTTGAAAACCACTACTTCACGTATTTTTGCCCCTTCCCCTTTCTCAAAATCACTTCTTCTAACCCTAAATGTACTTTCTGTCTGTCCTTCCCACCTGTCTAATATCACTGAATCATTTTTTTAGATGGAAATTTAGCATCCATATTATGAGAATGTTCCCTATAATGGAGACACGGTCTAGTCTCTGAAAATACCTTCCATTTTTTTTTTTTCTAACAGTCACTGAGTATAATAGCCTCTTCATATTACAGAGAAGGAAACAAGTCAGGGTGAGAGCAGCTATATCACATTCAATTAGATAAATGACAAGCTCTCCCTCCTTGGGGGCAATATTAATTGAATTTCTTTTTTGATAAGTTTACATAAAATGATTGCCAACCACAAACATGCAAGTGTCAGACATTCTATAAAACTTGACTCTGTGACATAGTAACCTTTTAAGAAACCCAAGAATAAGAGAGAGAGAAAAAATTAGGGTGATTTGTTTTTAAGCATTAGATTCTGTTGAACTACATAAAATCAGAGAAAAAGAAATACTATTAATATCGTTTCCCTTTCTCTCTACAACTTTTTCTTTGTACTAATTCCCAACATTAATTGAGCAAGGAACAGTATGGGGTGTGATAGCTTTTGTTTTCCAAGTATTAAGCTGTGCATAGGCTGTCCCACGGTTATGCATGTCAGACTTATGGACAACTGTCATTTGCCCTTAAACATAAGACTTCAAATAATTCATTCCACAGTTGATGATGCAAAATAGAAACAGACTGGAATGATCTGGGTGAATCATTATGGTGACCAGAATGGGAGAAATTACTGGCGGAAGTTCTGGAATGTGAGACTTGGAAGAGGTGCAGGGAATCCGCACGAGTCAACCCCGTGGGGCTGGATTGCTGGCAGGACTGTGGAGAGGGACACACGTCCAAGGCGGTGTGGCTGGTTACCATCTTTCAGGAGGCTTCCGCTATCCTGAAGTTCTGCTCTTCTGTTTTGTGCCTTCAAGTGGGAACCAACTCTCAGTTGAGCCTCCAGTGAGTTTTCAGTGGTTGTCAATCACACAGAAGGAAACTGCCCATCTTTCTTCCTTGGAGCACCTAGTAAATTCGAACTAGCTGCCTCTGGGTTGGCTTCACGACTGTTTACCCACTGTTGCTGTGATGCACTGTCAAGTGGAACCAACCCTAGTTGACCCTCCAGCAGGTTTTCACAGGCAGTAAATCACATGTGGGGTGAGTGCCCGTTTTTCTCTCCCAGGACAGCGGGTGGGTTTGTGCTGAATGGCTTTGGGTGGACAGTCTAGCTCCTTACTATTCAGCCACCAGAACCCTTTTCTAGTCCCTCAGAATTCTCACTCGTTCTGATTTCAAGTTCTGTAAACTTGTCCTCACTTTGAAACCAATGATCCGACCTGTACTTGGAGCAAATTCTTCATCACAATGACCTTCACTTGCTGCATATGCAGCTTTTAAATGACTGGAAATGCGTTAAGCCTATTCTTACACCAAAGAAAGGTTAAGTAAGAATGATATGCACCTGTTCTGATTGGCCTACCAATTCTTTTTTTCTTTTAGCAAAACAAGTGAAAAAGGTTTCTTAAGGTAGTAAGACAGAAGCCTAGCTAGAGAAAGGATCATACAAAACATGGCCTACAAATTCTTAAAGACACAGCTAGGAATGGACCTTGATTGCTTTTATGCCATCACCATGATAAAACTGACAAAAAGAGTCACAGGCAAAAAAAAAAAATCAAATTATCCATTCCTGGAAACATCAGTTATAGTGAGCTGTTGAGGAAAGGCAGAAAGAGAACATCAAACGCTTTCAGGGGGTTGAGGATGGTGTGACGTAGGAAAACCAAATATTCATATTGATCAACAGAATCTATACCTGAAATGGCTCAGTTGATTTTCTAAAAGAGAAGAGAGTCTCTCTTTTATTTCCTCGAACCTCTCTTTTTCTTCCATTGACACTGTTCCAATTCCATCAGGCCTGGGAGGAAGAAAAAAAAAATCAGGAATAGTAGTTCATATTAATGCACCACTTAATTGTACATACTATAAAGTGTATTCGTGCTAATCTTTTAAACGATTTTAATGCCAGGTTCATACAGCCACAATGTCTTATTTTATCAGAGTCAGACCTGTTTCCCCCTGAAAACCTAAATATTCAAGGCAAATAGATATGGGTCTAGAATATAATTTTGCCTATAAAGAAAAAGGTATTGGAGATATTTGCAGTCATTTGCTTCATCTTTTGATCTGGGATGAAAGGAACAGAATTATTCTCTTTCAGACAGCCTTCAAGGTAAAAGATTATAATAAATAATTCCCAGATCTCAGGAAACAATGACTAGTCCTTGAAAGTGGCAGTGAAAAGTGCTTTACGGTGGTACCAAACATTTAACCAATTAAATGAATATCCCTTGAATGGAAAAAATCACAAAAAACCAGACAGAATATGTAAGCGCAAATGTCTTAACCACTTCCTTTCCAGATGAAAGCAAAGCTAATGTAACATGGGAAAAGCAGTTTTAATTGTTATGAATTTTTTTTGGTACAGCTATGAAACAACAGAAAAATAAAGATCTGAGTAAAAATCAACAGAAGCGCAATAATAATTAAATTTCTTTACGGTGTTATTATGTATAATCAATTATCCCTACAGAAGGAACACAAATTTCCTCTGTAAGTTAAAGTAGCCATGTAGTCGGCACACAAGCTTTCTTTTACTAAGATCCTGGCTGTGTACCTCCAAGTCAGAACCAGACCACAGCTGACCCTCCAGCGGGTTTTTACACGGAGTTAATCACACAAGAGGGGATTGCCCATCCTTCTCCTGCTGAGCAGATGGTGGATTTGAACCACATACCATAGGGATTATAGCATAGTTCCTTAACACTAACTAGGTTGCCAGTGCTCTTTGCTAAGATTAGGGCAAAAATAGAAAACTATTTTAGATCTAGATCCAAAATGTTTAGATTTAGATATTTATATCTAATAGAGGGCCTTAGAATTTATTCTGTGTTACTTTTTTTATCTGGCTACACAGCAGTCATCTAAAATTTTGACCATTAAATAAATGAAAAATTTTAATGGTTTATTTTTATTTACGTAGAAAAAAGAACTTAATCTCATAATCATTTTAAAATTCATTTATAGATTTCAAGCACACAATGAGTCTTCTGCATTAAAGGATAATAATGTCTTCTTTTACTAGCTTATTTCCTCTAAAGATTACATTAAAATTCCCAAACACGTATCTAGTCATCATTCCACTTTGCTAATTTTTAAGGTGAAATAGGTGGACATAAGAATTATTAAAAACCAAGGAAAAACAAACTCCTAAAAATAATGCTGTCAATAAAATTATTACTTGATGCATCCAATTAGACACAGAGAACATGTGTACATATACATATGTGTGTGTTTTATATATATTTTTGATGCTTGTTAACTAGTCAATTAGAATCACAGCAATTAATTTTAAAGTTATACTTGAATCAAAGTGACATTGAGGCCTCTTATTCCTACAAAAGCATCATTAAATCTCGGAATTTTTTTCCTCCAATGTATAATAAATGATTTGTTATTTCAAAAACATGTATACTACTGGATTTCATGCTTTGAAAACATTTCTTATAATTATACTACCTGTCTAAATCTGGAAACATCAATTACTTGATTTTATGTTGAGACTAATTCATCGGTCACTTCTTTTCCATTAGAAGCTTTCTGGAGGTTAACAACAGAAAAATAAATTGCAAAGTATTGTTCTTTCTTATTTATTTTTAAAGGAAGAAGAAAGGTAAAATAAGGCTGTTACTTCACCTGAGTTGTAAGGGCAGGCAATGCCAGTGATCACAAAATGTTCAACTGAGGCATAAATCATCAATTTGGAAATTCAGACAAAAACTGTAAATGATCACTCGGACAAGCAACAGAAGTTTACAGGAGAAAGTTTTTGATGGTCATGTTACTAAACACATCTATGCAAACTTAATGGGGAAAAGAGCAAAGAACTTCTTTTTTTTTTAAATTGTCCTGACAACTGGTATAATTCTTGCTTCGTTCTCTGACAGATACCATATGTTTATATGGGGTTGAATTTTGCGATTTGATTACAATATCAAATGAGATCAGGAGATGCAGTGACAGACAAAGTAATTCCATCACGTGGAGCCTCATGGGCCACAATATATACCTGAAATAATGCAGCCAGAGATTCAGGCGAGCACTTAGGAGCAGGAAATGCCATGTGCCAACCTTCACCAAGGAAGACCGTCACATACAGTGAAGGGCTGTCCTTTAGTGCGGTACTGAGACAGTTTCAAGAATGAGATGGCTAAAACAGCTGGCATTTTAAACTTCTACTCTCTATCTTTTGGAAGCAGGAGTGGCATCCACTTCCTAAACAACAGGCTTCTAGAAACTCTACGAATTTTGATAAATGATAATAGTTATAGAAAGGTTTCAGGTCTTTTTTCATAGGGTCGCTATGAGTTGTGCTCGACTTGACGGCAATCAACAGCAGCAACAACAACAACAACAACAACAATAATCTCTCTCTCTCCAGTTAAAACCAAACCCATTTTTGCCATTGGCTGTGATTACAGGGACCATCCACTGGGTTCCCAAAGCTGTTAATCTTTACAGGAGACTCCCCATCTTTCTCCTGTGGAGACCTTGGACTTGAACTGTTGACATTTTTTTTACCATCTCAACCTGTTATGTACTATGTCATCCAATAATCCTCTCATTTGGCAGAGAGGAGCAGAGACGTAGAGAGGTTAGCCACATGTTCAAGGTTACATAGCTGGACAAGTGCTGGCCTCTAGACTTGAAATGAGCCCCTTGTTCTGCAAAATCTGTTCTTATTGTCCATGTCTTACTGTCTTTTTCTTACATTTGCACTGGGAATAATAAAGAATAATGAACAAAACCTGAGTAAAACAAATGAATGTTATGCCTGAAAAGAATAGTGGATGGGAGGACCATGCCAAATATACTTATTTACACTCTGTATTTTCTGTACTCCTTGTAATAAGACAAAGAGATTACAAATCAAGGAATCTTAAAAGTATATAAGCACTTAATACTGCATTTCCAACTCAATTAAATAAAATCTTAAATTCCTAAAGTTTGCTTTCATCTATTTTAAATTTGTATTAACAGAAACATTTGTATCAATTAAGCCAGTTCCATTTTATAAATACTTACTTAGTAGACTTGGGGGAAGTAGCTGGCTACAAAATAATAATTGAAAAGCACAGCTTAAAAAAAAGGCTCAGTTTATAGATTAATTTCTGGTAGCTCTACCTTCAAAGCATATCTGGAAGCAGACTGTGCCCTGCCACTTCCACTGCTGTCTTTTGATCACACCATCCCCAGTTCTCTCCTGAGAGCAGCTGTCATTTCCTGTCTCTTTCCCCTAGCCCTTTCCTTGCTGAAGCATTGAGAGCATACTGATGTGAGCCTTCTCCAGCACTTCTTGGCTCTATACCCTGCAATGGTATCACTCTACGGAGAGACGCGTCACTGCAGTGGTGTAGGTATACAAAACCACAAAGAACGCTTCGTCCCATGGTCAGTCTGATTTCCTCTTTGCTGCCTCTTGCCTTGTCCCTCTACTGCTGTCTCACGAATCATGTTTGTTCTTACACAGAAAAGGCAAGCATGCATCTGTCTCAAGAGGTTTTGCTCCACTGCCTGGGAGTTCTTCCCCTACATACACACGTGGCTGGCTCTTTGGCTCCCCAGGTTCTGAGAGGCTATCCAAACACCCTGTTACACAATACTGTATATATGGTCTGAGCTGACATGTGATATATTTAGTTACATGTTGAGTGTCGACCTCCTGCATGCTAAATTACTACTGCCTAGCTCCGATGGGAAAGTCTGCTGTCAGGGACCTCTCCAAAGTACTAAAGAGCAATGGTGTCTCTCTGGTGACTAAGGTGCATCTGATACAGGCCATGATCTTTGCAATCATTTGTTATGCATCAGAGAGACAATGAGTCAGGAGAATAGAAGGAGAGTTGATGGCTTTGAGCTGTGTTGCTGGAGAAGAGTATTGAGGGTACCATGGACTGCCAAGAAAACAAACAGGTTCATCCTGCAGAGGGTTAAACCAGGCTGCTCCTTGGAGGCAAGGATTCTGAGGCTCCGTCTGACATACTTTGGACATGCTGTAAGGAGGAACCGGCCCTTGGAGAGGGTCATCATGCTTGGGAGGGTGGAGGGACAGCGCTGGAGGGGAAGGCCCTCTATGAGGTGGATTGATTCAGTGACTGGTATAATTGGGATGGGAGTGTCAGAGAGTGCGATTGGCACAGGACAGAGCAGAGTTTAGGGCTGTTGTACATAGGGTTGCTGTGAGTCACAAGTGACTCGACGGCACATAACAAGAACAACAGCAGCTCCGTGGATGGAGGAAAAAGATGGACAATCCCCTCCTGTGATATTTACAGCCTCCAAACCCCACTGGAATGCCAAAAGTTACGGGTTTTAGAGAGGGCACATCTGACCTCACAGCCCCAGCCTTCTGCTGTTGCTGCTGTCAATGGGGATTCTTTCCCCTTGTGAAGTTAGTGGAGGTCAGAGAGAGCTGCTCGCTCAGTGCTTAACACCATTCTCACACCATGTCACTGGGAACAAAGATTTGCAACCTGAAATGTAGGATGGTTTTCTCTGAATATGGCTAAAGGGAGTAAATAAAAACACTGTTGTTGCTATGTGCTGTTGAGTCATTTGCGACTCATAGCGACCCTATGTACAAGAGCCCTAAACCCTTCTCTAGCCTGTGCCAACTGCGCCTTCTCTGGCACACTTACTCCCACCAGCTCAATCACAGAACACAGGAATCCTAAATTTGGAAAAAAGCCAAAGGAGTCACTAGATATAAGTATACAGAGTCACTAGAGCAAAAAGAATTGACTGACACAGAAGAATTTTAAGAAAAAAACATATGATCAAGAGCCTGTGGTGATCATT